TGTAACAAGTGAATATCTACAGACTCAGGGTTAACAAGTTTAAATTTGCTGTTCTTGTAAATTCTTGTTGTGCAATTGCTAAAAAGAGCACCTTTGTAATTTCCAGTGTGCTTTTTGTTTTTTTATTAAACACGTAAGTGTTAAACATGTGAAGTGTTTTTTTTATTCAAATATTCTATGTTCTTAGCTGTGTGTGCTATATCTGATCAGTGGTGGTTAAGAGTTTGGACCCTGTGTATTAAATTACACTAGTTTTTCCGTGCTCTATACAAAAGTATGAAATTACTTCATTAGAAAAAATATATGCATTTTGTTGACTAAAATTGCTTATTTTTATCGACTAAAATTACTTGTTTTTCGTCGACTAAAATGGGACTAAAACTAAAATAAATCCAATGACTAAAATTGGACTAAGACTAAAATTAATTTTTAGCCAAAAGACTAAGACTAAAATAAAATTAAAATTTCCTGTCAAAATTAACACTGCGTGTTGTGTGTAGACGTGTTGTGTGTAGACGTGTTGTGTGCAGACGTGTTGTGTGTAGACGTGTTGTGTGTAGACGTGTTGTGTGTAGACGTGTTGTGTGTAGACGTGTTGTGTGTAGACGTGTTGTGTGCAGACGTGTTGTGTGTAGACGTGTTGTGTGCAGACGTGTTGTGTGTAGACGTGTTGTGTGTAGACGTGTTGTGTGTAGACGTGTTGTGTGTAGACGTGTTGTGTGTAGACGTGTTGTGTGTAGACGTGTTGTGTGTAGATGTGTTGTGTGTAGACGTGTTGTGTGTAGACGTGTTGTGTGTAGATGTGTTGTGTGCAGACGTGTTGTGTGTAGACGTGTTGTGTGTAGACGTGTTGTGTGTAGATGTGTTGTGTGTAGACGTGTTGTGTGTAGACGTGTTGTGTGTAGACGTGTTGTGTGTAGACGTGTTGTGTGTAGACGTGTTGTGTGTAGACGTGTTGTGTGTAGATGTGTTGTGTGTAGACGTGTTGTGTGTAGACGTGTTGTGTGTAGATGTGTTGTGTGCAGACGTGTTGTGTGTAGACGTGTTGTGTGTAGACGTGTTGTGTGTAGATGTGTTGTGTGTAGACGTGTTGTGTGTAGACGTGTTGTGTGCAGACGTGTTGTGTGTAGACGTGTTGTGTGCAGACGTGTTGTGTGTAGACGTGTTGTGTGCAGACGTGTTGTGTGCAGACGTGTTGTGTGTAGACGTGTTGTGTGTAGACGTGTTGCTGAGGTAGTGCATCCTTTCACACACACAGAACAGATCAGACATTTTCTTCTGGTTGTTCCTTATTCATTTCTACGGTTATGCTTTTGCTGTGCATTGTTCATGTTTGGTAGATGTTGTTATACAGACTCAAACATTCATTAAACTTTTCAAATATTACGATGCATGCAGTTATGCAGTGAAACTGTTGTTTTAGTGGACTGGGTCTGTGTGTGTGTAAGGGACAGCAGGACGAGCTTACTGCCACTCTACTGTAACTGTAATAATATCTCCCGTTTCACTCATTCAAGTGTTCAACGCCCTGCAGGAAAGTGTTTCAAAAGCCTCATTTCATCAAAGAAAGTTTAAATGTTTGCTGCCAAAGAGGAGATAGCATGTTGCCCCATCAATACTGTGTCCCATTTTTCAAGTTGTACTTCTAAGAAATGTGATTAAATCCCTGTTCTAGCGCCGTCTGTGGGGGCCTGTGACAGAGAGGACGGGTTGTTTCATGGTGTGGTGAATAAAAGCACACAGCAGATGGTACTCACCGCAGCGTTGGGCTCGATGAGGCGCTGCTGCAGGAGCCTGGCTTCCTCCCAACACCCCGACTTACACAGACGCTCCAATTCACACAGCTCCGGGCCCAGCACGTTAGCTAGAGCGCACACTCCACCAACGGCTCCTACACACACACACACACACGCATGCACACACACACGCACACACACGCATGCACACATGTGTACGCATGCACATACACACACACAAACAAAAAAAAAGAACCAATCAGCAAAGGCAGGACTATACGAGAAAAGAACCAATCAGAGTCCGGTACCGGCCGCGGCATAAACAAGCTACTACTAACCAGACTGTCTTTATGTTTATGCCGGTAAAAGGAGGGGGGGGTTATGGTCTAATCGTTACTATTTTTGTGGTTGTTATGGTGATATGTTCTTCAGCGTGCTATTTCGAAAAGAAACGTTCAGGCAGCCAAACTTGATCAGTCTAATAAAAACTAATAAATACAACTGAATGCATTTCTCATCTTTAGTTTACCTCAGTTTTATTAGCGTAATAGGGAGCCTAAGTCCCGCACGGGTCCCTGGAAGAATGAAAAGATGAACGCAAGTCAACGAGGCTAAAAACACTATTTTATAATTCCGTTTGTGATGTTCCATGGATTTCACATATGATGTCCACGAATTTTAAAAACACATTTTGATACCAAGAACATGCTTATTTTCGAACAGGGGGAACACTATCTTAGGTGTTGTGTGAAAATAAGTCCAGGACTACAAACGCGCTTCACCAAGGTGACGTCATCGAACCAGACACGGAGGAAACTGAGGCAAAATGGCCGTAAGTTCAGCAAACTTCCCACAGGAGGAAAGAACCACCATAAATCTGGTCATGTGGTGAGTAGCAGCTACGCTAGGGGGGAGGAGCTTATGTGGTGACGTCGCCAATTTCTAGTTTGTAGTCATGCTAATTACGAACTTTTACAAGTTAATAAATCTCAAAGTACGTGACTGGCGTGGTCGAAGCACCCATCATTACTTTTCATTTAAACTGCAGTACAACGTGTGTGATGCAGGACGTAAGGCACAGCGGGCTAGAAAATCGCGTTGCTAGCCCCGTTGACTCGTGTAACGTACCAAATGGGTCCATTTTTCACCATCTACATTGATCAACATAGTGACCTTTCATCTACAGAAATAAATCCACTTTCTCATTGGCCTTCCAGACCCAGAAGGTTCTGCTCAGTGCGTGTCACATACATGAAGTCAGAATAAACTGTCAAGGTCCCCTGCACTCTCTGCATAGAAGCCAGACAGCATTCTTCACTCTGAAGAAAGGGAAGCTTCCCTGACTTTGTAGTTAGAAGTTAAATAATCAGGAGTTGAATGAAAAAGCTGTTTAAATGAAATGTTTGAATAATCTGTGCTTAAAAGCAATGATGGCTTTAAAATGAATATTGTTCTTACAACGAGCCATTTCAGATCTTATGATCGTACGATTTAACAAGTTAATCATTGTTTACACTCATACACATTACAATAAGATACATATTAAGGTTAATATTCACCACCTATATGGATGAATGATGCGCTGTAGAGTTTTACTCTGAGAGGCGCTATACAAGCGCGGGTCATTTATCATGTATATATTTGGGATGTGTTTTGATGAAAATCTGGTGATGCGATACATATCACGATACAGAGGAGATGATACGATATATTGTGATGCATTCAGCCAGACAATATTGGCTATTTTTAGACTGAATTTCTTGGAAGAAAATTCTTTAAACAGTCCAAACTGATAGTTAACATGTTTAGCGTGAGGTATCTGAACCATAATAGAGGGATTTACATTTCAGTGGTGGAAACAAAACCACATTGCACAATTCTTAGGTGTGTTCTTGCTGTGCGTTATTTCTAATTCCATGTTGTCGTTCCGTCGGCGAAATGTAGCGTCAACAACAGGTAACAAAACTGTTTCTGTGTTTTAAAAAAGAACGACATGACATTGCACACTGCTGTCATCTAGTGGTCGGCGTTTGAACTGCACCAAAAGAAAAGAAAACACACAAATGTTTGTAAATTATTCCAAAGATTAGGTACACCGCTTTTGAATATCGATGTAAAATCACAGGAAAAAATATGACAATATATTGCCATGTTGATATTTTCTTACATCCCTTATAAATACAGTACATATGGTTTAGATGTGATGTAAAACATGTCTAACCATACATGGAATCTACATATATAACTAATATCATTGCCTACCTTTGTAATCTTACTCTGTGGTAGAAAAAGACGGTTTTCTCCTCAGACATCATTCACCCAGACGCCCCGTGGACCGGCGCTACCTATTGGAGCTGACATAGCTGACATAGTGGCCGGCCGCCATCTTAGGTGGGTCTCCATTCTTACATATTCATGTCTATGGTTTTCCTGGTCCGCGGATCTTTTTTTAAAAACGACGGAACAGCATTCGGGTGACACTCATGACCAATGAGATTGAAGCACTAATAAGCTCCTCCTACTAAGCCTTTCTTTCGAAAGCTAAGCAAAAACTCAGAGGAGAAGCAAAACCGAGGTGCAGCACAAACAGAGCTTTCAGCAGAACCAAAACACGCTCTTCAGAATAAAAGCCTAAATTGTCTCAATAATGCAGAAATAAGAGATAACCAGAAATGTGTCTAAAACACATCAAATATTTCATTTCTATTTGAAATATTAAACATGTATTTATGAACGACTTCATTTGGTTTTTGGAATGATTTTTATGATTTTGAAACCCACACGTTTGCTTCTGAAATGTTACTTTTTAGGTGCGTTTTTGTGGTTTACTTGGTGAGCAATTGTAATTTTAGGTTAATCCTTTTTGCACAAATCTAGTTCCATAAGATCTGATGTCATGCTTTCTGTCCCACTCGAAGTCTTTTAAACAGTTGTTGGTTGGAACGCTTTGCTTTGAGGATCTGATCCTTCTGGACTGGAGGAACAAACGTTCCTGCAAGCTTCCTTCCTACCCTCAGTCTGTTCTCCCCAGGATCCTTGCAGATCATTTCTGTTTTCCTCTGAAGGGAACGAATACCGAGCTTCTCATCCTAACAGCACCCATAAGAACTGGAAACGGGAATGTTTTTACAGCTGTGAGTGAATGCCTAACACGGAATATAAAAACAAGTTCTAGTTCTGGTTTAGTTTTGATTTCTGGATGAAAACTAAATGCAGACGACGGCTCCCTGTGAGGAACAGAAACCCTGATTTAAGGTCTCTTACCAACACAATAGGCGGCCATTAGAAACCCTGCTGAGCCTGCCAGAACCTGGAAATCCTGCCTCTTGGTTTTGTGAACAATCAGGCCAATCCGTGTGATCTGAGGATGTAACAGAAACATAAAAATAAAGAAGAAAGTGAAAAACAGCAGTATGTCTTTGGCAACCTTCCTCCCTGCTGCCAGTGCTAATATCTGCCAGAGTATTTTAGTCCCAGGAGAGGCTGTCACAGGAGAATAGGACATGCTGAGCATCTCACGTGGTAAACAAATCGCTCAGTGTGAGACACATGGTGGAGGTTTTGGGAGGAGGGGATCGTTCAAGATTCAAAACAGAAAAGGGAGGAGAAGAAATGAAAGATCAGTCCCAAGTGAGCCTAGAAAGGAAGAATGTACTTCAAAAGATGAGCAGCAGCGACAGAACGAATGGGAGACGCTTGTGATTAGCATCTCATGAATATCAGATTGCTGTTTGGTTTTGCCTCTTTTGTCAATCCAGAATATTAAACAGAATCCAAACAAACCTGAAATGTTCAAAGAGGAGAGGAGGAATGTGAAGCTGAAGGCTCCACGGGGAAAAGCTGCAGAATCTGGTTTCCGTCTCCGTCGGTGTTACCACAGAGTGGGTATTTTAATCACAGGCTGTCAGTCACTTTTCTCATATTAGTTATTTTCAAACGTTCCGGACTGTAATTGATCAGTCAGTCAATCAGGTTGGAGGAGCTCCTGCTGCTCTGCTGAAAGCTGGAGCGCTTCGGCTCTAATGGGAGACCACCGTCTCCCTGGGTGTCAGCAGCACTCTCCAGCTTTTACCTTTTAAAGCCCCGAAACGTCGTGAGTTCTCAGTGAAGGCATGAAGTAAACTTTTCATAGAATGAAGTCAATGGGAGAAACACTCATCCCTTCCATCCACAGATCGTTTATTTTTACTAATAATAAAAGTAGACGCTCAAACCTACAAGCCATTTTGCGCTTTACAAACACGTTTATTCAGCACACCAACAACCTCAGTGACTTATTAGCTCTAAATAAAAATAAGATGGTGCACTTGTCTGACAAAAATGAGTGTAGAGATTTTAGGATTTTATCACATTTTAGTTTCTTTTCATTTCTCACACTCATACATCCATCCGGTCATTGGGATGCTTACTTTCAGCTCTCGCCAGAAACGAGCCCGACTCTGCCGGCAATACGGACCAAGCTCTGACACCAGTACCCCGTACTCCCGATGCACCCCCAGCCTTTCAAGGGACGTGGTCGAACGCCATCTCCAAATCCATAAACACATGTAGATTGGTTGGACGAACTCACGAGCACCCTCCAGGACCCCCCTAAGGGTATAGAGCTGGTCCAGTGTTCCACGGCCAGGGCAAAAACCACATTGCTCCTCCTCAATCTGAGGTTAGATAATCCGACGGACCCTCCTCTCGGGAACCCCTGAATAGACCTTACCAGGGAGACTCAGGGGTGTGATCCCCCTGTAGTTGGAACACACCCTGCAGTCCCTCTTTTGAAATTGGGGGAACCACCACCTCGGTCTGCCAGTCCAGTGGGACTGCCCCTGAGGTTCATGTGATATTGCAGAGCGGCTTCAACCGACACACCACCGCCGGAGCCTTGCCACCATGGAGCCTTTGACCACCTCAGTGTCCTCAGTACCAGAGAACGAAGAGCCAAACCCAAGGTCCCCAGACTCTCCTTCCTCACTGGAAGACGTGTCGGTGGTATTGAGGAGGTCTTCCAAGTATTCTGCCCACCGATCCACAACGTCCTGAGTGGAGGTCAGCAGCACACCGTTCCCACTAGAAACAGTGTTGGTAGAGAACTGCTATCTCCTCCTGAGGGTCCGGATGGTGGACCAGAATCTCCTTGAAGCTGTACAGTGTCTTGCTCCATGGTCTCACCGAACTCCTCCCACGCCTGATTTTTTCACCTCCACGACCACCCGAGCCACATTCCGCTTGGAGCACCAGTAACCGTCAGCTGCCTCTGGAGTCTTACAGGTCAGAAAGACCCGAGATGACTCTTTCTTCAGCTCGACAGCATCCATAACTGTCGGTGTCCATCCGCAGGTTCTGGGGATGCTGTCACAACAGCTACCGACAACCCTGCAGCCTCAGCTTCAGCCTTCAACAACTGAGACATGGAACAAGGCCCACTCAGACTTTGTGTCCCCCACCTCCCCGAGCATGTTTGAAATGCTGTTGGAGGTGAGGATGGAAGCTCTAACCAGCTCCGTGGTCTGAGTGTCCACCCTGAGACTGGGAGATCGTGGGTTTGAATCCACAGTCAGGTCATACCAAAGACTATAAAAATGGGACCCCTGCTTGACACTCAGCATTAAAGGGTTGGATTGGGGGGGTAAACCTGGACTGGCTGGACTATTGCAATAGTCTTCTAAATGGTCTCCCCAAAACAGCTGAAAAACAACCGTGGCTTATTCAGAATGAGCCTTAACAAGAACCATGAGAACCGAGCACATCGCCTCTTGTTCTTGGATGTCTACACACGTTACCAGTAAACTACAGAATCAACTTCAAAGTGCTTTTAGTAGTTTATGAATCTCTCAATGCCATGGCGACACGTTCGATCTCCTGCTACACCCAGCAGGGCTCTGAGGTCCTTAGAAAACAGTCAGCTGGTAGAACCGGGCCAGAACCAAACAGGGTGAAGCTGCTTTTAGCTACTACGCTGCTCACAGATGGATTCAGCTTCCTCATGACCTTAAATGCGCCCCAACTCTAGAAACGTTTAAATCAAAATTAAAAACCTTCATGTTTTCATCAGCCTTTGGATGAATGTTCTTATGCTGCAGCTGCTGCTCTGTAACTGCTCACCTTTTGACTCGGCCTTCATTAGTTAGCTGAATTTAAATTAATGTTTCTTTGTTAGATTTCTTTGCTTTTCCTGCTTCTGTAAAGCTCTTTGATACGTCTTTATGTTTGAAATGTACCATGCAAATAAAGCTGCCTTGCCTTGGTTTTCCGAGCGCGGCTGTGTCCACAGCTCCCCAGGGGGTGGGTCAAATGTGGAGAACAAATTTCACACACACACACACACACACACACACACACACACACACACACACACACACACACACACACACACACACACACACACACACACACACACACTAGTGTGACAACTAGTGGGACTTTAACTTCTGACAGGAGACTCCACCAGACGTTCCCAGCAGACCCTCACAATATATTTGGGCCTCCCAGGTCTGACCGGCGTCCTCCCCCACCATTGAAGCCAACTCACCACCAGGAAGTGGTCACTTATTAGCTCTTCCCTTCTCTTCATCTGAGTGTCCTAGACATGCGACCGCAGATTAGATGACTCGACAAAAAAGTGAATCATCGGACTGCGGCCTAAGGTACCCTGGTACCAAGAGCACATGGACACCTCACACTCATGTTTATTCTTTAAGTTGGTGAAGATGCACACTTTAGTCTTCAAGTACTTTTTCAGTAAAAACTCAACCATAAGAGAGGAATGTGGGCAGTATCTTTGTGTAAATGGGTCATTTAGTGAATAGTCTTTTGAAGTTTAATTAAATGTTGCCAGAAATATCTGAGGCTTACGAGTCATCAAACGCCTCTAATTTGTTTTTATTGCCGTTGGCTGTGACAACTATAGGAAATTAATTACAGCTCTGAAGAGGACAGAAGAAATAATTCCAAACCTGCACTGACAGAAATGTCCTGAACTTTTCAGCTTATGACCCACAAACTAGAAGGGCAGACTATCAGTGTGAAATCCAACAGCCTTGTTATTGAGCTAATTAAATAAGAATATGGCAACACAAGCAAATGCAGAATTTTCACACATTTTTCTAAGTTTTAAACTAGTTTATAACAAAAGAGAGAAGTCTTCCACTTCTGTAGCGTTCCTCAGCCTTCCAAGACAGATCTTCTACTTGCCGATCGCACCAGTAGATCTTTGATACTTGACCTGCAGATCCTGGAAATACCGAGAAAATTGGCAACAAATCATTGAAATGGCTCACTCAGCAGCGTGATCTACAGTTGTCTATCAAACTGCCGGTGCACACAATTGGTCCTAGCTAGGTCCATTCAGGGCGACAGAACAGACAATGGGGCAGTCTGCACCATAAAAGAAAAAGAACAGTGTTGATACGGCGTCCAACAACAACTACGGCGATTTCTACCATTTCATAAATCATTAAATTCAATAAATCATGTAAAGTTGCCAAAGGCTTTTCAGACAAGCGCCGTTCCTGAGCTGACGCCATCTTTGTTGTTTTCCTCCAGTGGTGTGACACAACGGTGCTTAAGAACCATTGTTTCATGTTAGTCACCTATTGGCTGAACAAAGAAACTCTACTGACTTGGAATGATTCACAGAGGCAATGACTGTTACAGCCAACACAAATGTAAGCATCTTTTAAAACAGAAGAAACCAGATCAGCTCTAAAGAGCATCCCGCTCAGCCCCGTCAAAGGATGTGGATCGACGGTGAGTTTGTTGTCAGGGAAGCTCCAGATTCGTCTAAAGCGAGGTGTACAAATATACGAACCCAGGAGCCAGGACTGCGGGTACTCGGTGGGTCATACTTGGTTCTGCACACAACACAACAGTGGTGCAGAGAAAAGAAGCAAAAGCACGCCTGCAAGGCTAGTGCGCTAGCTAGGCTAAGGAAGTAGTGATGTGTCGGTCGCCAACGAAACAGTTCTGAGCCGGCTTGTATGACGAGTGGTTTCTGCCACGACTAAGCCTGGCCAGACCCAGGAGAAGGTTATGTTGCCACGAGAACATCAGCACTGTCTGTGACCTTTTGCATAGAGCTGATTTAAAACCTGCGAAGACGTTGTGGCGATGCATCAAAACCGACGCTCGGTAGCGACGACGCAGCGACGCTGCACCTTAGTAACTTTTTTCATTTTGTGCGTGTCCTTACAAACGTCGCCTCTCCTACCTTCCTTTACTTGACCTCTACTAATTACATTTATCCTTGCATATAATTCAGGATAAGATCCTCAAATGTTGACTAAAAATATCCTAAATGAAATGAAAAAAATAAAAAACATTTTATGGCACAACTACAGCGCCTGATTCTGATCACTATTAAACAAGAAACAGCCTGCAGGTCATTCCCCTAGTTTAACAAACCTGTGTTCATGTGTTTAATTCATGTTCTTATGGGTGTATAAGCCACTATGTAAAACCTAAGAATTCTTTTAGTTTTAAAAAGTTTACTAACGGCGATTAACTTCTCCACACGTTAGAGAGACGACGTGCTTCTTCTCAAACGTTAATGTTAGACGTGGGTCTCCTTCGGCTGATAATCCGTGACAGAAATCCCTCACCATACGGCTTGTTGATGTGACCGACAGGAGCCAGCTCCCTCTTTAAGGAACCGGAGTGACACAGACTGTACCTGCAGCCCTGATGGCATCCAGCAAGTTTTAGTTGTTTCTTCGCTCCAACACTCAAGATTCAGTAGCTGAATCAACTGCTCAAGCATTCAGCAATCACCTACTGATTAAAATCAGGTAAGATGAAGCAAGGAAACAACTAAAACGTGCAGCCCTCGAGGAACCGGATTCAGCACCTCTGCTTTGGGGGAAGGTTTGTCGATCCTCCCTCTGGTCCAACAGAGAAGTTTTCCCGTTTCTGGTCAAAAAAGACGAAGCAGGCTGCATCACACCCCATCCAGCAGGAGAAAAAAACTTGTGTTCAGTCAGACTTTTTGAAGCCCTTTTTTCAAGACACACCATGCCGGCAAATCAGCGTAATTTCACAGAGACTATGTGTCTTAAACATGTGCCATGCAGGCATTGAGATGCACACATTTAGTGTCATTCACTCCGCCTCACTTGGTAATAATACTGCAGTAATTTTCTGTCTTATAAATGGCGATTGCACCTTGGTGCTGCCAAGGGAAGTGTCATGACCACCTGGCAAGTTACTTCCGAGCTCTGGCTGGCATCTGTGTTGAAAATGAAAGAAAACACAGGCTGTAAGTTTAGCTTTTGTTAACAGAGTCAGCTGTGACGATAACTGGAGCGATGCGGCGCTGCTGGAGCTTTTCTCTGTTAGAGCTGAAGGTCAGATCACCAGGGACTGCACGGGGACTGTGGAGGACAGACACCTTTACCAGCGACTTGTTAAGAAAACATAATGATCGTGGCTTCAATCACAATAAAAAACAAGTAATGTCCAACAAAAACGGAAGTCTACAGCAGCGCAGGAACCCCCCAGACCCCCTTTTTTATGCCGTTGCCTAATCTTTTGTGAAAAGACGACTGCAGTCTCCATCAGATGTCACCAGAAGAACAGCTGATAGAGACGCGTCACACAAACATCGGTGACACCTCTGATGAGGACCGAAGTCGTCGGTCGAAACATGTCAAGGTAAACAAGAACTCACAACACAACCTTGCATGTCCAAAGCAAAAAGAAACTTAATAATCGTCTAAGAATAATGAAAGTTGTAAAGTACGCCTGCTACAAACTCAAGTATTTCAGTGTAAAAATAACAGTTCACATGTGCATGACATGCTTTGTGCACGTGGAGTCACAAGTTCACTTATTTTATCTGCCAACATTTTCACTGCAAACAAGAGACCCTCCATGAGCTTCTGCTGGTGGCTGGCTCCTCCAGAGCTGGATGTTCTTCAGATTCCCTCTCCATCAACTGACAGAAGAACTGCATCGTGGTATCAAACCGTTCATCTCTCTGCCTCCTGTTCAGCCTCTGACCCGAGCATCTCCTGCACAGTAGCCAGATGTGTCGCCCCCATCGACATACATGCTGGACAATTCGATTCCATAGGCTCCAATAACACGTTTGTTGTCTATAACGGGAGGTGGCCACCACCGCCATTTTGACCGTGTCACAGGTTCCGTCCAGCCCAGACAATTCCAAAAAAGGGAAGAGAGGAGGAGCTGAGGGTGGGGCTGTAAAGCTGGGATCGACTGACGACACCGGGTCGAACTAGCTACAAGCTAACCTGAAGCTAACCCTGGCTAACCCAAAGCTAACGCGGAGGTGGGAGCCAAGCTAACGGATGTAGCCACCTAGCTTCAACCCTATGGCGTGGTATGGAGGCCAAAATTTAGACTACTGCCCAGCAGCAGGAGGCTATAGAAGTTCTGAAGCAAACTACTGATCTGATTAATGATAAGCTGGCGCCGGTAACTGAGAGGCTGGCGCTGCTTACTGAGAAGTAGCACCTTTACCCCATACCGCGCCATACAACCCAACCGGAGCTAACTGTGGAACACCCATCGACCTGAACCTCACACGAAGTTTAGGTGGAGGTTTTCGGCGCCTTTTCATGAAAAGTACCTGGATTAAAAAAGTATTAAATCGGTAAGTTTATAATTTATTTCCGTAATGAAAACATTTTGCTTTGAGCAAGTTTTCAGTACCGTGTTTTCCGGGCTATCGCTCCTGAGTCGCACCAGCCATTAAATGTATAATGAAGGGAAAATATATTTAAGTCGTATTTTGGGGGGACATTTTATTATTTTTCTTACAAAATCTGAGACCAAGCGTTTCACATTGCACGACAAGCACCAGTAACCATAACAGAATGAACAGCCAGCAGAGGAGAGGATGGGGGTGTTTCAAACCCTTCCGGCCAGCGAGGAGAGCTCATTCCTGGGCTAGAGCCGGCCCTCAGCACCCCGCCACAGGCTCCAACAGATGCTGGCGGTGTTTGAAACCCTCCCAGTGGGACAGGGGAACTCATTCTTGGGTGGGTCGGAGTCGGCCCGCAGCAGCGCGGTGTAGCCTACATATTTTGTTATATAAGTCGCTCCGGAGTATAAGTAGCAGGACCGGCCAGACTATGTAAAAAAGTGCGAGTTATAGTCCGGAAAATACGGTAGTTATTAGTATTCAAGCTAAATTAGCAGCCTAAATACATTTCATATATTTCCAAAATGTTATACTTGTTTGTATCTTGTACAGCCAACTAGCCTTTATTCTGGACTCAGTACAATTCACCAAAAGTAAAGAGACATTATACAGATGAAGTAAGCACAAGATAACTTACTGGAAGACACAGAATTATTATCATGAGAACCAGAACAAGACAGCCTGATAACAGTCATGTGAAAATAACAGTTAAAAAGTATGTATGTGTAATAGAAATAAAAATATATTAGAATTAGTGTAACTCACTGTGATCCAAACAATAAATCAGCCATAGCTGATTAGTAAATATGACATGAGGTCTGGGAGTTTTTAATTTTCATTTTTTTCTTAGATCTGTTTAAAGGTCACCATGGCAGCCTGTGTGTCTCCAACATCAGCTACACAAAGCAGCGTGTAAGTTCCAAGTACCTGTCTTGACCACTTCATGAATGGGTTTGTACTTTAAACAGCTAGGCCAAACCTGTTATTTTTTCCTCCATAGCCATTTGTATCATTGGTGACAGCTGAGTGAGGCGTGGTGCCCAGAGGGCTGCAGAGACCCTTGGAGACAACCTTGGCCTCCCTGACGTCTGTGTCTCCTGGTTCGGTTGGGGCGGACTGAGGTGGAAAGACCTTCTCCCCTTCTTGTTCCACTCCCTCCATGGAAGAGCAGCTCCTGGTGTCCTCATCATCCACTGTGGCAGCAATGACATGGGGGTGGTCAGCAGTGTGAAGCTGGTCAACATGATGAAGGAGGACCTGCACCGGCTTCACCTTCTCCACCCTCATATGACCATCATGTCATCCATCACCCAAAGGTGTAGATGGAGGGCAGGTGTAGAACCTCCTAAAATTGAGAAGGCCTGGAGGTTTGTCAACAGTGTTATGGCCACATTTATTTCTAGCTTAATTGTTGTGCATCCTCACATCAGACATGACAGTCCAGGGACATTTTTGTCAGACAAAGTTTATTTCACTAATAGGGGAAATGATATTTTTTTAACTAATATTGCCGACTGTCTTAAAGGCCAGCTCCAAAAGCAGTGAAAGACTTCCAGGTGGGAGTCTCGCTGCTTTTGAATTTGGCCTTTAGGACCGGTTTATTTTCAGGCAAACAGGATAGACATATCCCTCCCCACATAGCTAATGTGTTGGATGTCCGATGAAAGTAAGACTCTTCATATTTATGTTCTGTCAGCAAATATCAGAAAAATGTTCATGGTCACAACTTCTGACAAGCACATAACAAAATGTACAGACAGACTAAAAGATATGACGAGGACAGCTTTTCTCTAATCTCCATAAAAATGGATTTATTTAGTGAGCTTCTTGCTGACAGTTTTTCCTTCTTTTATCCGGTCCGTCTCCTGCTGTGCTACATGATTTAATCTAATTTTGTAGTACCACACAGAAGCCATCTTTACAAGAACATGGACATGATTACTTTCAGTACACACGTCAAACATGTGGCTGTGCAGCTGCGGGAAGAGATTTTTCTCTGAGCAGTCAGTGACAACCTGGGCAACAATGGCTGCTGTTGTTCCTCTTCCACGTGGAGCCTTTCCTTCATCGGCTTTAAGAATCCACTGGAAGCATCTTTCTGTTGCATGGCAAACTGCAGTGATGCCTTGTGATGGTTTCTGTAATCCACCTCTGTCCTTCAATGCCAAGAGTGGATGCACTGATTCATCCGATGTCAGTGCCTGTGAGCAAGGCATGCATGTAATCTTCTGCTTCAACTTTTTGACAATGAAACCAGTGATGTAAGAAATCGCTGCTTCCTTGTACTCCGACAGGTTGTTGACATCTGGAAGATCAATGATGGAGTCATCGTCAAGTACAAGTGCCTCTACAGGCACCACATCCAACCTGCGTGCAATGTTCACAGTTGCTGGTGTAGAGTCAAGGATGGCTGTGTTGTCACAAAGAAGACAGTTACCTGTACCCTTTTAACCTGGTGCCTTACAAGAAGATGCTTGTATGCCCCTCTGAACTGCCTCACATTGGGGTTGTTGTTGTGACCACCACGTGCTCTGATTGCAGAGAAGAACAGCTCCGAGTGGTCCTGACTGAGTTTGTAAGTCAGAAGATATCGACAAAGAGTAGCTGGATGCTCTACAAGGTCTTCATAGATGCCGATCACACTTCTGAAGCAGGTGATGAAACCATAGATGGGTGTCCTTTTCTGTGTGGAATGCACATGTACCACTCTGTTGTCTTTCCCTATGATTTTGAGCCCTCTGAGGAGAGACTCTGTTTCTTTTAAAGTGACCATGACACATTCTTTAGTTTTTGGTGTGATGGGTGCTTTGTATCATTTTCCAAGTGGATTGCGGCTATTTAGGACATCAAAAGCAGCATCAACTGTGCGCAGGAAATCAACTGTGGCTGCACATCCACTAAACTGTGGATACCTCAGTTGTTGCTCGCAGTACTCAAGAGCAGCAGCCACGCTGCTGCTAAAGATTTGGGCCGCAAGATGAACCTTCATTTTTTGATTTTGCCACTGAATGTGAGCCATTTTGAGTTTGTTGCCAAGACGCAAGCCTTCCCTCTCCTGAAGCTTGTGCAACTCCTCAATGTACTGCCGACGTATCAGCTGGCCATCTTCCCTAACAATAACTTTAACAGTTGAAAAGACATTGCGAAGAAACTTGAGCATGTGACATGGGTCCAAGAGAACATGGATTTTCTGTGTGTGATCTGCTGGATGGACAAAGTATGATCTCATGTCCATTATGTCCAGATTGGCACCAAGCTCCCTGATCATGGCCATGTTTTGGGAGGGGCCATCACATGTCAAGGATACAACCCTAACTCCGATGTCATGAAGCCTATACAGACTCTCTTGAATGAGGCTAGCTCTTTCTTTCCCATTCATGCTGTTGATAAGAAAGTAGGCAATCGGGAGCTTCCAAGACTAGTTGATGGCAACAACCATGATGACCAATGCTTGTGTTGCAACAACATTTTCAATCTCACTAGCTCCAATGTCAACATAGCCATGAATCTGGTTCCCATCAGACTCAGTTTGCTCATGAATGTACATTTCATCTAACATCAAAGAGCAAACAGTTTCTTTTCCTTCCTTCTTCTTCTCAAGAACATGACTTTTTAAAGCTGTAAATGAAGAAAGAGTAAAACCAGGATCTGCAGAGATACTGCTGTACCAGTTGTGAATGGTCTCTGGATGAGGCAAAGCCAAGTGAAAGTGTTCTCTAGCATCCTCATAAGCCTTAGGAGAGCAAAAAAGCAGTGTAGCTGCAAATTGCTTCAAGTTCTCAGAAAAAGATGATCTTTTCTTCTGATTCATTTTCTGAAACAACTCTTTTGGAACACCATCCAAACCATCAAGAAGAGAGGCACATTCAGTTGAATTGTATTAGAAGTGTCTTCTGAGGAATTTTGATGACACTTTTCAAAGAAGAAATTCTTTCCTTCAGTCACCTTGTCTTCTGGGATTGCAATCTGAGCTTTTACTGAGCTACACGTGCCTTTTCATTTGCTGACAGAACTCTCCTTTTAAGCGTTTTGGGAGACTCTGTGATCTGATAGCAATGGTCACTCAGGATGCTGTTTGGCTGTAATGGCACAGCGTTAAACTGACCAGAGTCTGAGTCATTCTGGTGTTGAACACTGTGACCAAAATGAGCAGTATCACACTCAACTGCTTGCAGAGGAATGTCATCATGTGTTAGAGTAACAAAGACCTCTTGAGGTGAGTCTTCACACATCGTTACATTGCTCAGATCAACAGCAACTTTTATGGTACTGTCTTCCCCTGCTTCTACATCTGCAACCTTCTCAAAACTATTTACAAAACCAGCGGAGTTGTCACTTACCTTGTCATTCCTACTTACCTGTACTTTCCTTCTTGGAAGATGTTTTTTTTTTTTTACCTTAAAGCAGGGGCGGCGTTAGGCCCGGCTACTTGGGCTGAAGCCCCGAATCTTTAATGAAAAGCCCCGGATCTCAAACGTGGAAGTAACATGCAGTACCAAAGTCCAACAGAGAGGGAGCAGCTAGCAGTAGTTTGTATACAGCCTGCCTGAGCCTCCACCACTGAAGAAGAAGCCCTTCAGCAGCCGGCTTCTTCTACACTCTCTGCCTGAAACGCATGAGTGAAGATGGACATAAGGACGTTTTTTAGACCAAAAGTACGGCGACAGAACCCCAGCTTTGATGAGACTGGTGCTGACTCAGGTTTGTGAGTCTTATTTGAAAATATTTGTTGTGCTGCTGGTTAGCCTAAAGTTAGCTTACTATCAGGTAATGTTGTTGGAGAAAGAAAGGAAATATTTACTATCATCTCACACTAAACACTAACAGGAACAATACTCTGCCCTGAATATGCTTAATATGTAGCTTCAGATTAAACATTATGTGGTACAAGACAAATATATCTGTTGACTAGTGCGTGTGCGTGTGTGTGTGTGTGCATGCGCGTGTGTGTGTGTTAAGCCCCGGATCTTCTTCAGTCCTAAATCCGCCCCTGCCTTAAAGGAAGAGAAGATTGTAGGTACAGCTGTGTCCTTCAGGCAAAGTCTCCCCTAAAATAAAAAATAAAAATTAAAAAAAGAGAGCATATATTGTTAGATTTAATCCAGAATCCAGACTTTGAAAATTTATATTTTAATTACAGTTTGATTTATTTCAATTCAATTCAAAAATACTTTATTAATCCCAGAGGGAAACTGATTGCTGTAGTAGCTCAGGATAATAATAATAATCAAGTCATCAAAGAGTTGTTGTATATTACAACGGCTGTTGGCAGGAAGGATCTCCAGTAGCGGTCAGTGTTGCAGCCAAACTGAAGAAGCCTCTGACTGAAGACACTTCCGTTGTCGGACAGTCTTGTGAAGAGAATGCTCAGGGTTGTCCATCATTTTCTTGATTCTCTGGAGAATCCTTCTTTGCATGATCTCCTCCAGCGGTTCCACAGTCGTCCCCAGAACAGAACCAGCCTTTTTTATTAGGCTGTTGAGCCTTTTCAGGTCCCTGCTTCTGATGCTGCTACCCCAACAGACGATGGCTGAAGAGATTACACTCTCAACAACAGACTTGTAGAAGATCTGCAGCATCTTGCTACAGACATTGAAGGACCTAAGCGTCCTCAAGAAGTGCAGTCTGCTGTGTCCCTTCTTGTAAACGGCTTGGCTGTTCTTTCTCCAGTCCAGTCTGTTGTCCAGGTGAACTCCAAGGTATTTATATTCCTCGACCACCTCCACTTCTTCTCCCATGATGGAAACAGTGTTTGACTCCACCCTGTTTCTTCTGAAGTCTACAATCATCTCCTTTGTTTTGTTCACGTTCAAGGTCAGATGATTGTTTCCACACCATGCCACAAAGCGCTCCACCAGCTCTCTGTACTCAGCTTCCTGTCCATCTCTGATACACCCGACAACTGCAGAGTCATCTGAGTATTTCTGTAGATGACAGGTCTCTGACTTGTACTGGAAGTCTGAGGTGTACAGGGTGAAAAGGAATGGTGAGAGTACAGTCCCCTGTGGTGCTCCAGTGTTAATGATCACCTGGTTTGATGTGCAGTTCTTCAGCCTCACAAACTGTGGTCTGTTTGTCAGGTAGTCTTTAATCCAGGCGATAGTTGAGGCCCCCACCTGTGTCTTCTGGAGTTTCTGGCAAAGTGCATCAGGCTGGATTGTGTTAAATGCACTGGAGAAATCAAAGAACATGACCCTCACAGTGCTGCCTGATTTGTCCAGATGACAGTGGGTTGGTTGAAGCAGCTGGATGATGGCATCTTCAACTCCAACTCCATGGCGATAAGCAAACTGCAGCGGGTCCTGATATGTTCTAGTTTGCATATTCAGGTGGACCAACAGGAGTCTCTCCAGGACCTTCATGATGTGGGATGTCAGGGCAACCGGTCTGTAGTCGTCATTGACTGATGGACGAGTTTTCTTTGGAACTGGAACAAGGCAGGATGTCTTCCACAGGACTGGAACCTTCTCCTGGGCCGGGCTGAGGTTGAAGAGGTGCTGCAGAATCCCACAGAGCTGCTCTGCACAGGCCTTCAGTACTCTGGGGCTGACACCATCTGGACCTGCAGCCTTGTTCCTGTTCAGTCTCTCCAGCTGCCTCTTCACCTGACTTCTAGTGACAAATAGGTGTGAGGGGGAGGTAAATGGGGCAGCAGCATCTCCTGACTTGGTTGAAGACGGATTTATAGAACCAGAAGAGTCCATGACTGCGTTAGAGGACAAAAGAGCTGGCGTGTGACAGGAAAATGTTGGATCAGAGGAGGATGGGTCGTCTGATTGGCTGGGGACAGGCGAGGAGGACACGCTGGGTTTGTTCCTGAACTGAACATTATTGAAGAACTTGTTCAGTTCATTGGCTGTGTCCAGGCTGCCATCTGTGCAATCCTTCCTCTGCTTGAAGCCTGTGATCTTCTTCATCCCTGACCAGACATCTCTGATATTGTTCCTCTGTAGGTTGTTCTCCAGCTTCTTCCTGTATGCCTCCTTGCTGTCTCTGATCTTGATCTTCAGTTGCTTCTGTATACTCCTCAATAATTCCCTGTCTCCCTCCTTGAAGGCTCTTTTTTTCTCATTTAGCAGATTCTTCAGTTCACTGGTGATCCAGGGTTTGTTATTAGCGAAGCATCTCACTGTTCTGGTGTGTATGATGTTGTCCACACAGAAGTTTATATAATCAGTGACACATCCAGTCATGGCATTGATGTCCTCTTCATGTCCGTGGCAGAGAGTCATCCAATCTGTGGTCTCAAAACAACTCTGCAGGGCTTCTTCAGCGTCCTGTGACCATTTTCTCGCAGTTCTTCTTGTCACAGGTTGCCTCTGAACAAGTGGTTTGTATTCCGAGCAGAGAAAAACAAGATTGTGATCTGATTGTCCCAGAGGAGGTCTTGTTTTGGACATGTATGCATTCTTTACATTTGCATAACACAGATCCAATGTCTTGTTTTCTCTGGTGGAGCAGCTGACAAACTGTTGAAATGTTGGAAGTGTAGCAGAGAGTGAGGCATGATGAAAATCACCAGATATAGCCACAAATGCATTGGGGGGCTGGGTTTGTAGCTTAGCGACAACGGAACTGATGGCATCACATGCATTTTCAGCAATGGCTGAAGGTGGAATATAAACGGTTGCCAAGACAACACTGGTGAACTCTCTTGGCAAATAATATGGGCGACAACTTACTACCAAGAGTTCAACATCTGGGCTGCAGAGACGACATTTCACTGAAACATGACCTGGATGGCACCATCTGTTGTTGACAAGCACTGCCACTCCACCTCCTTTTCTTTTCCCGCTCCTCTTCAGATCTCTGTCTGCTAGTACAGTCAGGAATCCTGGCAGAGAGACGCTGGAATCGGGGATATGGTCCTGCAGCCACGTCTCAAGACACCATTGACCTTTGACACCAGTAGAATGTTTATTTTGTTCATTTCTCCTTAAATGCCAAACGTTTTAGTTTAAAATGAATATTTTTCATTCATACCAATACATAAAAGTCACACATTAAAGACTGACTAAAAAAATTGTTTATCAGAATAAATATCCATAGAATTAGATGGAAATTAATAACGTGATTGTTTCCCCATCCAAGCATCCCCGGTCACAGACAGTTCAAGGGAGGGGGAATTGTTTTCTAGTTACACAGCAATGTAACATCTGTATATTATACAGCTAATGCTTCAATTGTTTCAATCTTAACCAAAATATGAAGAAATGTGTTTGTACCCTGGAGTCCGTGGTGAAGTGATGACTCTCAAAGTGTTCACTGCACAAGCAGGAGTGTAAACTGGGAGTCCAGCACTCTCTTCTTTGGTTGCTTACCCAAAGGTCAAGCCTCTCTGGATCACCTAGAGGAAAATTTCATACAAATAACTACTTAAGCATGTGGGTTTAAAATACTTAATAGCTTATCATGTCCTGTAGTAAAAGGTCTAAAATTAGGATAAAGAGTAATACAAAATGCATACTTTATAAAAAAACAAAATAAAACCAAACACTTGAGTCTATCGCCTTATTGGATAGGATATGAACCTTTTAATAATCAATTTTATTAATTAACTTCCATTTGATTAAACTGCACTAGTTCCCATGAGAACAGGGCACCCGGTCGCGGCTCTTTGTGGACAAATTAGTTATTTAGTCGCTTCCCACCACCACGATTTTACAAATATGCAAAAAATTAAAAAACGAGCGAGTTTATCTGATGGCATAGACTTCTGGAGACCAACATCAAGCACTATCAACCAACTCATCGAGCTGCAGTATTTCTGTGGTCAGGTCTCTCTCCGAGTCCGAGAGCTCCACAAGCAGTCAGCCCGCGCAGCAGCCAGGCGCCGAAGCGGTCAGAGATGCGCCGGGCTGACCGCTGGGGAGAACCGGGTGGAAGGATGGAACACAGAAGTCTCCCTCCGAGAGCTCCCCCAACATGTCATATTTCAACCCATTTCTATGTTAAATGCACTGGGTTTTACCCATCGACGTATACCCTATTAATTATTTTACTGTATATTACATCTAAATTTCATGGTTAAACAGTACATGTTAAAATGGTAGTTAGCTAGCTGCTTTGATAAACTCAGCTAGTAAAACGGCGGCAGTGACCTAAAATACATGAATATAATTTAACTTACCGAAAAAAATGAAGTGGAGACTCCTTGGGCGCTCTATTAGTGCAATTAATGCCACAGCAAGTCATTTTGTCCAACAATTGCACAAATAATATCCAAACAAGAATACACAAACACAGAGACTCAAAATCCCGGAGCAGTTTCCAGGCCAGACCGAGGCTCTACTGAGGCCTTTCCACGGAGCTAGCTCTGTGGTCATGTGGGTCTGATGCTCATTAATTATACAGAATTTTAGGCTTTTAATACACTTAAACAGAAGAGTGAGAAAAACATTCACCCCCCTCAGAGTTGTCATGAGTGTAAACTAGATCATTTAAACCAAAAACATGTTCTGGTACCAGGCTGTAAACATGTTTATTTCTGCTGTGAAATTGGTATTTTTAACATGGGAGTCAATGAGGATTTGCTCGCTTCTGACACCAGCCCCTAGTGGATGAGGGTGGAACTGCAATTTATTTCACTTCCACATTTGCCTCACTTTCAGACCCGCATTGTGGGGGCTTGGGATTCATGTTACTGTAATGCACAATACTGAGTAGGTGCATTTGCTTTTATGTGCCTTCTGTGAAACCCTAAGAATCCAGTGTTTTCTACAGAGTGGAGTGTGTGTCCCTGATCTGAGTGTGTCCTCCTGTCATCAGTTATGTTAGGATTGTTAGGTGTTGATAGTAGAGCTTCAGTGTGACACAGGTGTGAGTGGTCTTAAAAACATGTCACATTCTGCCTTGTAAATCATCTCCAGGATCCTGAGGCAGCCTCTTCTGTCCAGGATGGATCAGCTCCTATCTGATCGTTACGAAGATGTTTCTCTCACTCTTGTCCTAAACATGCATGACGTTTGGTGTTTTATAGTTTATTCTGACATCTAGATTTATTACCAACACCGCATTGGCTCAGCCAGTGTGGTGGCCTTCAACACATCTGCTTCCATGGTTTGTTATTCTCTGGGCATACTTGAACAACCTCTCCACATGGGTTTCAATCATTCAGCCATCTTTTCTGGACATGATTCCTGTAGATGTTTGCTTCAGACACAAGGGACAGAAATGTTTAAATTTCATCATATAAATCATCTTTCTGTAACTTCTCTGCTTCCTGAAACTGACCCCTCATCCCTTCCTCCCTGTGTTTGTCCTCTTACCGCCCACAGCTGAGCCAGGCTGCACTGTGCATGAACTACACCCACACTCCCATCTCCAAGCCAGTGGACAAGCATGTTATTTCCCAAATCAGAAATCCATTTGCAACTTCTTGCAAACACTTCCCACACAGACAAAAAGGTATTAAAAGCTCAACAAGAGCAAGATGTGCTTTTTATCCAGGATGCAGCCCTGCACTCGGCTCTGAAGAAACCAGACACGTTTCAAGTTCTGGTCATTTTAGCAGGAACCTCTGGTCTGTGCAGAAGCTGCAGATGATGTGTTCAGTAAACGCAGGAATACAGTTCTGTTTATACATAACTTACATCAGGATGAACTGACATGGTTGCTTTATTACTTTACCATAAAATGTATAAACAGCATGAATAGAACGTTTATCCAGCTACGTGTTTGGCTGATTGTTGTACAGAAGTAGTTTTCTTCCAGGCTCCCATAGAAGATGTGCTGCATCCCTCTGCAGGCGTGACACACCGAGACTCAGACTAGTCCAGATGATGTACAGCAGCTCTAAACAAATACCTGCGTGGATATTTTAGCATGAACTCTTCAAATTTCTTATAAAGCAAAATAACATATTATTCAGGATTATTATGAGATTATTAGCATGGCAGTTATATTATAATCACACAGGTTAATCCAAAAGGGTTCAAATGAAGGCAGCTGGACATCTTTGGTTTCTTGAAGACATTTTGCTTCACAACTGAGGAGCTTTGTCAGTTCTGACTGGAATATGGGAGTCAAGCTTATAAACTGTAGCTGCCTATTGTTGTTTAACTAGCAGAAACTACGCTGAATACCCCTCCTTTCTACCACTGATGAGTTGTTGGCCTCTATTGAGAGGGAGTCTGTGCGGTGCCTTGGTCTGCCTGAGTGTTCGTGGCTCCCGGGTCAGGGGGTTTAAGATTTTTGGCGTCTGCCTGATCAATCCCGGGGGTTGCCTGGTGAGGTTTGGGTCCCTGGGCTCTGCTGGCTCCCTGGCGGGGGTGGTCGCCCCTGGGTCCCGGGCTTGGCCGGTTAGGGGGTGGGAGGCTGCAGGCGGGCCTGTGGGCTTGCCGCTGATATCTCCCGGGACTGGCTGTGGCCCCCCGGGGCGATCCTCTGCACCTCTCAAGGGGGGCAGGGGCCTTTCTGGTTGCAGTCTCCTTGGGGTCCCTGTGCTCTGGGGCAGCTCCTGGATCTCTGGGACTTGGAGCTCCCTCCATCTCCTGCACATCTTTGGGGGGCGGATCTGTGGTCCCTCACATTCTCTGTTGGACGCTCCTATAGAGAAACCTTACATAAACAAGTGCGTGTACACACACAGGTGCTCACATGGTGCTCTCATAAGTATGGACTTGGGCACGTTAAACACATGTCTTAAGGCTGTCGTTGCCACTAAATGCACTGTGATTTATTATCATGTGATTGTTCAGTAAAACAATGTTGATTTTATATTTCATCATCAGGTTGACGCAGTGATAGCTTGCTCCTGATGTATTGTTGTGTGTCCCATTATTTATTTATTTTTTCTTCTCTCTTTCTGCAGGTCTAGAAGCAGATTCTTGTTCATTATTGTTTATTTTTGTGGAACCCCCCCCCCCCCCCCATCTTTTGTCTCTTCCTTTCTCTTTCACCTCTGTCTCCGTGTCTGGTCAGAATTACAAAGCATTCAAAAACAACAACAATAAAGTTTTAAGTATCAGGCGTGACATTAAAAGCAAACGCTTTGATGCTCCACCTGAGAGTAAATCTGTAAGGCTTGTCGCCAGCATTCAGACATCAATTCTGTTTGCTTCACAGCCAGACAGGACACGGGGGGGGAAAAAACACAGAGACAACGGTGTTCACACGTTGGATCACACATGGGACTGTGTTATCAGTGTGAAGGATGCGGGCAGCAGAGGGCGACATCGTGCTCTGCTGCCCGCCCATAAACGGAAGTGAAGCCTCGAACAGCTGGCGGCTCTGGCAAAGGCAGAAGTTACGGCCGAAGGTAGAAAGACATCTACTTACTGCTCCGTGTTAAATAAGACTAAAGATGATTACCTTTCATGATTATTGACCGTTTACTAACTGTGACCACTTACAAAATGTTACTCAACACACTCTCTCTCTCTCTCTCATACACACACACACACACACACACACACACACACACACACACACACACACACACACACACACACACACACACACACACACACACACACACACACACACACACACACACACACACACACACACACACACTCTCTCTCTCTCTCTCTCTCTCTCTCTCTCTCTCTCTCTCTCTCTCTCTCTCTCTCTCTCTCATCTGTTTAATACTGTTTGATGATTAATGAACCAATTAGCAGCTAGAAAAACTTCAGTAGCCTTGCTTACGTCGCCTCCACTGTCCTTCAGGCCCAGGATGTTTGGGTGCTGGCAGAGCTCCACAACGGCGTCCAGTGGCAGCTCCAGTCCCGTGTTGGCCGGTACGCTGTAGAGAACCACTGGAACCGGGCTGCTGTCTGCCACCTGTGTGTGTGGGAGGGGCACCTTTAGATAGAGCAGCTGTTGACTGTTGGACTCCTCCTCCCAGGCGTCTGACCCTTGCCACCGCCTGTTGGTGGCAGATTTTACGGAAGTGCTTTTTATACTGATTCCTCTCTTTATGAACCCCCAACAGAAGGCTTAAGGCATTTAAATGTCGACAAAATCCTTTTAATGCAGTCATTTGCTCTCCTCAAACACACGGTGGAGGATGGTGCCTGCTAATGGCGCTGATGCGTCTGATAAAACATCCAGATGCACCTTTAAACTGAGGTCACTGCTGGACAAACACCGTGGGGATCCTTCCAGCTGTGCCGCAGCTGCAGGTAAACGGGGGATGTGTGAGTGACTGTGCACTGGCGCTGTAGCTGACCTTTGTGAAGTGGTGAATCAGAGCGCGGCTGCTCATCTTGCCTCTGTAGAAACTCGGGGTCACCACGAGGACTGCATCCGCTCCGCCTGCTGCCATCCTCTCCGTCAGCTGGACAGTGGCTCTCGTGGCTGGGAAACAAAGACACCAACTGGAGATTTTGGAGGTGTGACTCTGTTATGAACCATTTTTCCTCCTGAACCCGTCGGTTCGTCCCCAATCAACCCTGATGTCAGACATAACGGCTGTCGCTGCTTCTCCTCCCAGATGTTCCACCTGCTGTAGTTCTCTGGTTTCTAAACCAACGTTATACCAGCGGAAACCATCTGGGCCTGAAATGCAGGACTGCAGTTAGAACCTTCTCCATCCAATCCACCAGAAAAGTCCTTTTTGTCCTGTCCTGCTGCTGTTAGATGGGCCTCAGCAGCTTCCTCTGAACCGGGCTTTCAACATCAGTTGCAACTCTTCCTTCAGTTATCAGCTCATAAAAATCAAAGAGCGACAGCTTTGTTACAAGGTCGCTAAATCCACACATCAGCATCCGCCGTGAGCTTCCAGAACTCAGGCCAACGTGAAGCGGAAATGCGTGCAGCTCTAAATGAAGTCCGTTTGATTAAAGCCCTGTCAGAAAAATAAAACATGCTTTCATCACAGATCAGAGTTACCTGTTGGAACGACTGCTTTCATCGGGAAGACGTTATTTTGAATTTAAAACTATTTGTGAATGAGAGTGTTCTACATCAGACTCACATTTAGACGAGGTTCACGTTGGCTTTAAAGGGACAGAGTTGAACGTGACAAAGATGTTGACCACGGTAGAGCAGGAAGGTTTTGTGGGAGTAGAAACTTCCTAAGATCTGGTGTCTTGTCTGATCTGGCCTGAGTAGGACCTCACGGAGCGGGTGTCTCCATCGGTCAGCAGGTGAGGGGGTGTGGCAATGGATAGGATCGTTCGTATTTCGCCGGATGAACGTTAAAGTGAGCGCGTTCATTCTGGCGTGCGCGAACGGGTTTATGAACGCTGGAGCTCCAGATCTCCACAGAGCTGAAGCCTAGCTACAACATCCTGCTAACTATAGAGGGTATAAAAAGTAGACCCTGCTTATGTGGCCACCGTAGGCAGCAGCGGTCGGTGTGGCATCTACTCTTCTATGTCTATGCTGTGTGGAGGACAGACGTTCCTTTTACTATACAGCTGTACATCACGTCCATTTTAGATGCACCCTTACAAGTTAATCTTATAAAATAAATGTCTGCGCCACTGCTACTATTGTTGTTACCGAGAGCTGCTATACTGAACCTCAAAGCTGAATTAAATACATTATCTGACTTTTTTTTGTGTGTGTGTGTGTGTGTGGGGGGGGGGGGGGGGGGGGGGGGGTCCAGTTCAATATTTCTACTCAGAAGATTAAAAACTGAAAACACCAGTCAGAGTCGCACCGGTAATATCGGTATTTAATACTCGTTTATTTGTTTGCTTTAATTTTTACTAAATCATTTGGGGCTGATTGCTGCTCCTTACGACCCAAGCAGTGGCGGCGCCAGGGGGTGCTATAGCTGCCCCGCACCCCCATAGCACCCCGAGTAAATATTAAGATTTTTTTTTTTACACTTTAATTTTAATGTAACATGTGGATGTGATCATATTTAACATACAAAACAAAAAAAACAAAACAGGAAATTGATGTTAACCTTTGACCTCATTTTCCACCAGCGAACGAGTGAAAGGTAGAGCTAGCGGTAAGATGGATCGATTTTTGTTGCCCACATTTCCACGGGTTCAGTCAGAAACCCTTACCCTAACCCTGACCCACAAAAACCTACGGATCTGGATGAAGAGAGTCAACCCTCAACCGCCGCAGCAGTCCAGGGTTCTGCTGCTGGAAATGCTAACGCTAACGTTAGCTAAACTTGCAACACTATAGATGGTTTTCTGTGTGGCTGTATGTGTTTATGATTTCATGGAAAAGTCAGTGATTGTTCATATGTTTATGATGTATATTAATGATTGTTTCAGGTGTTGTTGAGGTGTTGTGCACGCATGTGTATCTGCTAGTGTTGAAGGTGTTTTAGAGAACAATAGGTACGCATGACCACTTCCTTCATAACACCCTCAATAAAAAGACTAGCTCCTTCATAGCACCTGCAGGAAAACATTTCTGGAGCCGCCACTGCAACCAAGCTCTAGAACTTTTTCTTTTTCACGTCAGTAAAATTCCTAGAATATGAGAAGTTCCTTAATTTTTTTTTAAAGCACACAAACATACATATACACATGGACACACGCACACACACACACACACAAAAACACACACCGCCAGACTGAGCGTTTGTGGAAGAAGACCCATCTCCACGTCCATCTGCTGCACCTAAAGGATCTTCTGACATCCTTTAACTCAGCAGTCAGAGACGCGAGGGTTTCCTATTTCTCCAACCTGGTGTCCCAGAGCAAAGGGAACCCCAAGGTGCTGTTTAACACCATCAGCAGCGTCGTCTCTCCTGCCTCTCCTTCAGCCTTATCGCCGCCTCTCCCGACTCCAACCAGGCCCATCATCCTAGATAGCTTTGCTCCTGTTTCTTTGCCTGAGTTAACCAAACTAGTTAACTCTATGAAGACC